ACTGATGGTAAAAGAATGAACACAGTGTATCACAGTCAACTCTACCAAAACAAAATGACAAGAGCTTTCAACAAAAAGGTTAGGTCAAGGCAATTCACCTCGGGGCAACTGGTACTGAAACTTATCTTCCAATATCAGGATGAAGCCAAGGGGAAATTCTCACCCAACTGGCAAGGTGCTTACATGGTTCACCAAGTGCTGACAGGAGGAGCACTTATACTTGCAGATATGGATGGAGAGATATGGCCAAAACCTATCAATTCAGACGTAGTCAAGAGATATTATGTTTAAGATTATGTTTGCACTTTCTATTTGATGTAACTTGAACTACGCTTGACCTAATTCCCGTTTAAAAGGGGATACATAGGCAACCCTGTGGGTTCGGTCACATCGTAATAAAATCTTCATTCCCCCCATGGTTAGAAACTGGGGAAAGATCTCGAGCTCGCCCGATATATTCATGTTTAGAATCGCCAAGGAATGTATCGCCAAAAGTATGCATTTAAACTGGGGCAGCATTTTGAGGAGGATCATCAAAATTCCGAGTTAAGGAGGTTGCAATGTCTCAAAAGCATATCACAGTCGCCAATTTGTCAAAATTGTTGACTCTCAGGCATTATCACATATTTCAAACAACTACAAACAATTTATCACAAATGCATGTTTTTCGAAAATTTTATTTTTCTGCAATAGCCAGACGCTACCCAGGGTGACTCAAACAGGACCTCAAGACAAGAGCAAAGGCAAAGCAAGGAATCGAAAGCACGAACCAACCTTCCACCCTCCAAACTCACGATTTTTGTTTAGATGCAGGCACGATGGAGTCACCGCATAAGGCTAAACACTGTCTTTCTTGCATAGGGATAAGCATTGCCCTCATCACCGCATAAGTCAAATGCAAGCGAATCAAGCTACGAAATACTTTGCCCTATCGCATTCAATCATAGATTTTCTTGCATAGGGATAAGCATTGCCCTCATCACCGCATAAGGCTAAACACTGTATTTCTTGCATGAGACTAAACACTGTCTCTATTCTTTTCATGAGACTAAGCACTGTCTCCATTATTACATAAGGCTAAGCATTGCCTTTCCTTGTGTGAGACTAAACACTGTCTCCATTCTTTGCATGAGACTAAGCACTGTCTCCATTATTGCATAAGGCTTAGCATTGCCTTTTCCTTACATGAGACTAAACATTGTCTCCATTCTTTGCACGATACTAAGCATTGTCTCCATTATTGCATAAGGCTTAGCATTGCCTTTTCCTTACATGAGACTAAACATTGTCTCCATTCTTTGCACGATACTAAGCATTGTCTCCATTATTGCATAAGGCTAAGCATTGACTTTCCTTGTATGAGACTAAACACTATCTCCATTCTTTGCAAGAGACTAAGCATTGTCTCCGTTATTGCATAAGGCTAAGAATTGTCTTTCCTTACATGAGACTAAACACCGTCTCCATTCTTTGCATGAGACTAAGCATCATCTCCATTCCTTTCATGAGGCTAAGCATTGCCTCCATTATTCCATAAGGCTAAGCATTGCCTTTACTTGTATGAGACTAAGCACTGTCTCCATTACTGCATAAGGCTATACACGGCCTTCCTTTATTGCATATGGCTAGGCATTTCCTTTCCGCGCAAGAGACTAAGCACTGTCTCCATTATTGCATAAGACTAAACATTGCCTTCCTCGCATGAGACTAAGAACTGTCTCTCTTTTACTCAAGAGGCTAAGCACTGCCTCAATTATTGCATAAGGCAAAGCATCGCCTTCCCTTGTATGAGACTAAACTCTGTCTCCGCTACGCTTCTTAAGATTAAGCATTATCTCCTTTCTTTGCAACGGGCTAAGCGTTGCCTTCATCTCATATAAGACTAAGCCTTGTCTTGTCTCATTTTAGCGAATGACTAAGCATCACCTGTTTCCTTTATCAAGCGATCAATATTACCACATACTTGCATTTCATGGGCTGAAACACCACCACATTGTCTGAAGGCGTCATAGTCCAAAGGCACCATCCTCATAGCCTGAAGACACTATGCCATGGCCTGGGGATCTCTCGAAATTGCACAACATTATTCAAAGGCGTCATAGTCCAGAGGCACCATAGTCGTGGATCGAGGAGATCATTTCATGGCCTGTGAATCCCTTATCAAACGCTTCATGGCCCAGGACATCATCCTTATCGTCCAAAGACAACTCTCATAGTCCGAAGGGAATTTGCATCATGTTTAAATTTTTGCAATAACCCATATATATTCACATGAATCGTGTTTTAAGTTTTGCAGGTAACTCGGGAGGTAACCGTTCTACAAACAAGAGCAATTCTCTTTCCGGTTTCCATTCACAACGTTCACATCCTTCGATCATCTCAAACATAACCGATGATCAGTAATTGATTACCTTTTGTTCTATAACCATGCAAATATCTTCCTTGTATATCTGTAACGTTCAATTTGCATTCATAACCCCACCTGAAATTATCCGTTACTCACGACACTATCCGACTCAAAAGATCCTTTTTCGAAACACATGACCAATCTTATAACAATTCCATCGGTTTCATTTGTCGTTGGATCCAGAACTACACACAGCCTTATTCTCGTAACACCAGGGATATGTAGGCAACTCAAGAATCATGGTTCGGCCCCACTTTTTTCAAAACGCATAATTTCTCACTCACTTCAGACAAAATTGATCATCATTTTCTTTACCCGACAACTCTTTCATCATTCCCGCGTAAAGAGGGGCAGTTGTTGATAACCAATTTTGCCCACATATTTTTCAAATAATATATATACCTTCAAAAAATCATTTTTGCATCATAACTCAATTTACAAGAGTCATATAGGTATTATTTATAATCTTCCATAATTTTTAAAGCTTTAAAATTAATTTATTTTGCATTTAAATTACTTGAATATGTATTAATTACCCCCTTAAATTATGTTGTGATGATTTAATCCCCAAAATTTATTATTTACAATCACATATATGCTTTACAATATTTTATTTTATTTTATATAATTTTATTTGCATTTTTATGTTATTTACACATTTTTGCGATTGTAGCATATATTTTGCAATTAATTACATTTTATTATTTTATTTTAAGTCAAAATAACTTTTATATGTTTACAACCTTTAGCTATTATTTTAAAATGCCTATTTGCTTTAATAATTCTTTTTTACACTTATTTAGATATTTTTATTAATTTTGTTTTTCTTAATTCCTTTATTTTTAAAGATGGCCCAAACCAGGCCATTTTTCGGATTAATTGGCAGCCCAAACAACCCACCTTAGCCCAATAACGCACCTGCCCAACCCAAACGACCATGTTTTAAACAACCCGATCGCAACCCGTTCGATCCTAGCCGTACTTGTTATTTTTTAGCGGGCCTATACTTGTTTCAGTCTGTATTTTGTCATTTTGAGCTTGTATTATTCCATTTTTGTCTTGTAACTTGTAATAATGAATAATAGGGTGTTAGTGAAATTGGAAATTGGGTGTGCTTTCTTCTTGCATAAAGGGTAGAGAACATGCCTATAGGGTCTACGTGCTTTATTTGTTATCTTGTTTAACTTGCTCTACTTCTGCACGCTAGTAGAATCATATCTCTAGGAATGGCACACACCTCACCTAATTTGTCTAATACTCGTACACTATCTCAAACATGCTATTAATCGACATACTTGTTATTACTGTGCGTTTAGACAACATGCCTATAAGACGTATATTATATGCTTTTGCTAACCTAGATATCATGCCTATAGGACTTCAAATAATTAATTGATCAAATTGCTTCTATTACTTTTGGTGCACTATCCATCTAGATATAATGACCATAGGACACTAATCTCTTAATCAACTGCTTCTGCCGTTTTATTACACTTCCACCTAGATAGCATGCCAATATGAATAAGTATGTTAATAGCGAGTTCAAATATGAACTATTAGAAATATTGCCTATATAATACTGTTATTTTCCTAGAAAGCATGTCTATAGAATCAAATGCTGGAAATTACCAGTTTTAATAGATTTCACTGCCCATTGTGCAAACAATTTAGAAATCATGCCTATAGGATAGTGTCACTCGCCTGAGACGCCTATCTATAAAATCCGTGCTAATAATCCTCAGTGTGCAAACAGCTTACTGCCTCCTCGCCTAAGTCACTTAGAACAATAACGATGCATATACGATACTGGAATTCAGAATCACCTAGAAACCATGCCTATAGGACTCTAAGTCTCGATTCTGGGACTATGTACTGCCCAAACTACCCGTGTGCATTTGTTCCGGAGGCTAACTTGGGCCTTTAATTGTCTTTATGTAGAGTCTTATCTGTTTTGAATGTCTCTTAGTTTTATCATTTTGAACAGCCTAGGTAAAGTCTAGAACCATCCAAATAATAGGTCCAACGCTTGCTGGACCATAGGTACGGGACGTTTAGTGCACACATAGGATACGATTTAGAATTGAATTAGAGCGCCTTTAGGTAACAACTTCAACATAGTAATTGGNTCCTTTGTTTATTTGATCACCTAGACTAATTACATAATCCACATAGTTTAAAATTCGTTCAGGACCCACAGTTGTGGACCTCGAAGAGTGCCTAACGCCTTCTCTTTGAGGTAATTTGAGCCCTTACCTGATCTTTGGTGATATAGACTAGTCAAACAGAGTTATTTCCAAATAGGTGTGATAACGCACCTTAAAAATCGTTAGGTGGAGATTCTTCTCTTTAATACCTTCATGTAAAAGAGTTGTCACACGTCGAAACTCGCTTTCACAAGAAAACAGGGCGCGACAAGTATGAAACTAAAACGCTTTCACGGATTAAGAGGAAAGAAAACTATTACTGTATATTATTTCAAGCTCGAAGGCTTACAAGAAGACAATATCTTGGAATAGTCATGGGATTCTAAAAAATAAACAAGTATCCTGGAACATTCATGGGACATCCAAAAAGAAAATTTTTAAAATACCCAAAAAATAAAAGATTACTAAACCAATCTGGTCACTGTAAGGATTCATCAACAGCCACTAGAAAAAGGGTACGAGGGAGCAATGGGAGAAAATTGAGGAGTGCCTAAAGGAGGAGAAACTTGAGATGTTGAGGGGAGAGAGCACACAATAATAGCCCTTTCACCTGCATTGCCCTCTGGCATGTCTCGATCCGACTCATCCCCGAAAGAGTAATTATCAATGTCGTCATAATCTAGTTTCAGTTGGGTGGCTCTCTATGCTTGCTTGGCCTCGTTTATCTCTTCGTCCAAGTCCAGATCGCCATAATGAATAGCCCTTAGCATTTTCAACTTGGATTCTAGAAATATGACATACTCATAATGGATCTCAAATTCCCTCGAATCGGAGGCTATGTTGTCTCTTTCACGCTTGAGCCTCTCCTCATCAACTCTTGAAGCTCCAAGATGTGCCTCAAGAGCCCTTTCTCTCTCCTCCATATTGTAAAGGTTGGCCGCTAGAATGACTCACTACTTGGTAACCCTATCTAAGAGGGACAACCTTTCGTTAAGAACTACTTCAATTTGAAAAATCCTCTTAGTAGACTGGGCTAGCTCAAACCTCACCCGCTCCAACTCCTCCATCACTGCCTTGGCCCGGAATCACGAGCTACCTTCATAGAATGTTCTCTCCAAACCTCAATACATCCAGCCTTGATGAGGCCCTTTAGCTCCCCAATCTCCCTCTCAAAGCGACGGGTCCTTTTCGCAAGCTGGAAAGACATCAAATTGTCCCGTACAGACAAAGGGAAGGTTTTAACATCAACATCAAAGCAAAATACAACATAGAATCCAACATAAAAACATACTTGTAGAGTATAATTAAGCATGTTGATCACAAGATGCGAGGTGGGCCTCTTCCCCAACCTCTATAAGTCAACCCCCTCAAGAACCTCCTACATATTGTGTTTCTTCTGGGTATTCAGGGAGGCACTATCTTGGGAGGAGATAGGGCTACTAGGATTGTATTCAGAGTAGGATCGGATGGAGGAATTTATAGAATGACCTATGCTTCCGCTGCAAGGGAACCAGTCTTCACCAACTTCTCAAAATACCCTACCAGGAACGCCTCCTCCTAAGCATCTATGAATACGAGACCAGACTACCAAGGAAGAGAGGGCCACTTCCCAAAGCTAGACCGAGTCCTTCTTCTAGGAAAGCCGGTAGGAGCATTGCCGGAGCATCGGCTTGAAAGTTTTTCTTGTTGTGCCTAGCTGTTGCAAGTTCCTGAATCCTTTCTTGAGTAGCGGTCGAGAAAAGATCAACCAAGGCCCAGGATAGAGGTTTCTTCAACTGAGTGCCTGCAAAAAAGAAAGATGAGTATGACCATAAGAAATAAACAAAAACTTACAAAAATACCAAATAAACTATGACTCCTGGCCCTTCACTCGGAAACTTTGGAGATGTTCCTCAAAAATCTCTCCAACAATGGAGAACATGAGAAGATCATTGCAACTCACTCCTCAATGTGCGTGCCTCTCCAAGCGTGCAAAGAACGACTGTGATTAGGATATCGGGGTGAAAGGCAAAAGATAATTTTAAGTGAAAAATAGCACACCTACGATTGTTATTCGAACTCTCAGAGAATGATCTACCCACCATTTAGGTAAGCGCCCAGATAGGAATAGAAATTAAGGGATCATGCCACCCTCTATCATGATTGCCCTCGGTGTCCACAATCTTTCAGGTGCTCCAATTAGCAAGAATGATGATGCTACCCCAGTACAACTTACGAAGAATATAGATGAAGAATATGTTGAAGAGAAATATTTACTATGGCCAAATTTGACACCTACGAATGACCGTACTAACCTGAGCCAAACTAATATTAAAGTGCCAACATAGATCCCGGATTATAGAATCTATCAGGGGGTGGATTTCAAAGTAAAAGGGTAAGTTTAGAAGAAAATATAACCCTCTATAACTTAAAATCTGCTTAGAGTCCAAGGGGACCCGAACGTCCACGTGCTCCCCGCCATACTCTTCCTTTAACAGATGAAGATGATGTGGTAACACTAGAGAGGGAAAAACATCCACAGGGTATGCAGTGCTATTCCACACACCGTCGTCTGTCCATATATCACATGTATTTGCAAAACCTCTTAAACAATAGGCTCTATCTCGGTCTTCGGCCTTTTACTAGAATAATCCTTTACCGTTTTCTTTCCTCTTGCCCTGAGCAGACTCAGACGCTTCACTAGAGAGTTATGTCGCTAAAGAAGATAGAGCCTCTAGGGAGGTGGCAGTAGCAGGATGAATATCTTTTTTGTCCATAGTGCTACGCAGGGAAACTAACACAAAGAAGGAAAAAGTGAGAACGCAATTGAATCAAGAAAGGTAGTAGAAGTTGTGGTATCGATTGTTTGCATAAATAAGCAAACACGTAAGGCCAAAACCTATAGAGAGTCGGGCTTACATCAATCACCAAAAGTAACCATCATTGCCTAGGAAACTGCTATCAACAGTAGACCCGGCAATATCTTGCCATATGTCACAAACATTAATGAGAGACTGCACACGTGTCATCAATCACAGTTCAAATCACGTCATCTCAGGGAGATGAAAGAGAAATCTTTTTCGTTAAGACATCTGTCAAGATTTAACTTATTGGGAGTATTCCATTCCTCGAGTACATCTTATGAATCACCTACAGAATGGGGGGACGATCATATCGTGTCAAAATAACTAGCTCGGTTAAAAGTTAAATCATGGCAAAAATAGCTTTGGGGAAACAGTTTTGCGAAGCTAAGCTCTTTCATTAAGAGGCCACAACTAGAGACTGTCTGGAGACAACGATCGACCCCCATGACCAAAGATCACTTCAAAAAGGATGGATCAAACAGGGAAGGTCTCTCTCGAGAAATGCCTAGATTTGGGGACTTTGCCTATGTTAAATTTTTACATAATAAAGGAAACATTTCTCATACAATTGTTTCCCGGGTTGTGATGCAACACCTTTCAGTCGGGTAAACAACCCCAAACGAGCCCCAAAATAAGGGGTGACGTCATCTTCATAGGCATCAAAAAATATAAAAAGTCCTAAGAGGAAACCTTAACTAACTTTTTAAACGTTCAGTGAGTTCATCCCAATGGTTACTTAGGCTAAGCCTATAAGATTGCAGCAATCATTACTCACGAATGTACAAAAATAAAATGAAAAAGAATAGTTAATTAATATATATATATNAATACGCAACAAATTTATTTTTTGCAGAAAGACCCTCATAGGCCTCTTGTTCCCAGAAAAGAAGCTTGGGAGGAACAATGGAGTGATGAAGAACGGGAAACTGGAGGAGTCGGGCATGAGCTTCAGTATCCTCGTTCCCGGAGACTTCAGCAGGCTGAAAAGGGGCCGTACCTTTATTCTCTTCTTCATCTTCATCCCCGGACCCTTCAAAAGCATTAGAGGCAGAAGAGCTCGAAGGCTTCGCCCTCTCCATAAGTTCATCCACTTTAACAATCTCTTTATTGAAATAGAAACCCTCAAAATGGACCTCGTGAAGTGTCTTTTGACGAGCCAGTAGGTAGACATACTTTTTACCCTCTTCTTCCTCCTCTTTAGCCTCCTTTAATTTCGCGGCGATGTCATCCCACTTGGCCTAGAATTGATTCCTTTCTGCCTCAGATATTTCTAGGGACCTATAAGCCTAGTCGGTTCCTCAAATAGCCTCTACCACCGATCCTCAAGGGCCTCCATCTCATAGGTAGACTTAATCCATTCCTCCACCAAACTTATGTGTTGGTCCTCCTTCGTCTGAATAGCGATTTCAAAGTTCTGCACCTTTTGATCCAGGTAGCCAAACTGCAAGGAGAACTCGAGCTCTTGAGCCTTTTTCCCTTACTATAGATGGCTTATCCTTTCGAGAGCCTCCCGAATCTCTGAGGATATAGCCTCATTCTCCATATTCATCTCTACCAGGGTTAGTGCTAACCTCTCAATCTCTTATTCTTACTCGTGCAGGATGATATCATTCCTCATGATTCTAGCATATAGTTTTGTCGTTGTCGGTTAACCTATAAAAATCTATTAGGAAGACAAAAAGATAAAAGGAACCGATCAGAAAAAAAGAGATGTTTAGGACTATAACATGAACCCTGAATACATCACATGATTGGCAAGAGCCGCCGACAAAGCTTTGTCTATGTACTTTTATTCTAAAGGCCCGATAAAACATTTCAACTATAGAATAACCTTTTTCGGCCTCTGAAAGACGTTCACTTTAGAGGAAAATCTATCAAGACTTCCCTCTTTAGGACAGTAGACTCTTCGAATTCCAGGCATAGGGGCACCTAAGGTAAGGTTACAAAATAGGGGTCCACGTTGGACCCACCAAAACCATGCTTCGTAGACTCCGACCCCTCCGAAAGAGCCATAGCTGACTCATCGAACTCCTCAAGTGAAAGTATCATAGCTTCTCCCTCCTGCACCATTGACTCTTTGCTGGATCTTTGCATCAGGGAAAATTCTGGTTAGTCATCATTCACCACAAGAATGGTTGGAGGAGCAGGAGGAGGGGGAAGTTCATCCTCCTCTGACTCATCTCAAAGCCGAAAAAAGAAACAAGAGGCGGGACTAAAGGATTGATTTCTTCCTCTTTCTCTTGGGATGCCTTTTTGGAGTTCTTCTTCTTCTTGGGCTTAAAGGCTAAAGGCCCCTCCTCCACGACTTTTTACTTAGGCAAGGATGGCTAGTGAACAAGATCTTGACGGATCTCAAGATATATAACCTTAATCCATGCCGATGATCTCCTAGACTCGACATCTACAACAACAGAAATGGAGTATTAGGAATACCAAGAAAAAGAAAAATTTGTGTATCCTTACGTCAAAATATCTATAGCATGATTTTTAACTCACATCTTTTGATGAGAGATTGGTTTCCTTGTCCTCACGTCCATAGTCGCCCACTTTAAAAAAAAATCAACCCACTCCTCCATATCCCGAAGCGGACCGCTGACAGATTCCGGAGTTGCTGCTATAGTATAAGTCAGAAGATCTTTAATCAAGAAAGAGAAAATGACAAATGAGAAAAAAAAGGAAGGGCTTACGCTTGAAATACCAATTCTCTGGGAAGGAGAGGTCTCTTTTGCTCAAGATATCTCGGTTAGATACTCTAATGAACCTCTCATACCATCTGAAAATTGTCCTTCATATTAGCAAGAAGGCGATGGATTTCCCAACTCGCCAACATCAACATTGATACCTTGTAAAGCTTGAGGCAGTAGATATGGATGAGATTCTTGAATGAAAAGCTTTTTTATAACATTTTAGCAAGGAACCTCGAGTATTTCATTGACTGACACATGCTTAATTCTAATTGACCTAGGCAAACGTTGTACACCCTGCAAAGGTCTTTTATCACCAGGGTCAATGGTTGGCTCAAACCCGAGGGTGAATAGGTGGGTGAATACAAATAAAAAACCTTCCTGGTAGATGGTTATGTTCTCACACGCTTTGGGAAGGAACGCTTGAACCTTACCTTCCCATGCACAGTCTCTCAAGACCGTTGGAAGATGCTTCTCTTATAAAACTAGCAAAAAAGTTTCAATTGCCCTTTCCAGAGTTGTGCTCTTGTAGTCGTAGGGCAAAATAATATAAAGGGCCTTCGCAAGAACCTCCACATTTTTTGCTTCGGTCTGTTCTTTCTTTCCCTCGCCTGAAGTTTTGGCGGCCTTGTCTTTCTTAGCAGGGGTAGTACCAACTCAATCATAGGCGTGGCAGCCGGAGATACTCCACTTTCATCAAAAGAGGTTGATGATCTCTCTCCCAACATCCTAGTGGATTTTCTACCTCTACTTCTCCTAGTAAGGAAGATGGTTTTCTCACCATCATATCCTCCATGGTTGCAGCGGTCGCTGGCAGAGGGGAAACGATAGTAGCCTTAATAGTGGAAGTTATTTTGTGAGCACTAACTGGAGTACTTTGAGAAGCCATTGCAAATTGTGATAGAAAGATAAAGGAAAACAAGAAGTGGTAAAGTTGAAGGTATCCTAAAATAGAAAAAAGCGACAATCAAATTAGGGAGGTTTCAGAGAACAAGTTTGAGCAAAAGGTCATAAATACAAAAGAAGGGGACGGTTCTTATAGGCAAGGTCATCATGACCTTGGTAACCGCTATGGAGTCAGAATCCATTGACGACCCCTACGTGTCAAAAAATTTTAAATGGAACTAACTAGATACCCTTTCAGATTAAAAAATAATGACGGTTGCGTGGTAAATCTTGCCAAAAAATCCTTTTGTAACACGTCAAAGAACATACTACATCCCGGATATTTCTTGAGAATTATTCGAAAAATGAGAGGACTATATGTATCGGTAAAATCTAACTTTGACAGTTGTGTAGGTTACGTGGCAACACAACATTTCTTGAGATAGGTTTTATCGTGGGGAGACAGAACCATGTCCCAGTGAAATACTCTAAAGATGGTTCCGGGGATCCATTAGTGAAGCAATAGCTTGGGGTCTAAGTTGATGTTTAACCGTCTCTGATATATTAGAGATCCACTATGCTAGATACGTTTTTCACAACCGTCAAGTTTCCCAGCAGTTACGAACTACCCAAAGTGATTTGCGAAAGTAGGATTGAGCATATGAACATTATGCTTAGGCTATAAATACTCTCATTTTTCTCACTAGTAATTTATTCAAAGACAACTGAACTTATTCATTACTAAAGTCTGTTGTATTTTTGTCGGGCAATCAATCTTTACTCTACAAGCATTGTGGCTTCTTTTGCTTATCTACGTTAATTGCCTTATTATCATTATTTATTGTTCATATTGTCTAATCATACGATTCACTCGACTAAGCTTTGATTTGAACCGATTGCTCGTGACTTCATTCAATATAAATTTAATTATTTTATCCTGAAATTATTTTTAGGTTAAACATAATTATTATGAAAATTATTAACTGCACATGAAATTACTTAATTTTTCTCTAACTAATTCAGTCGCAAAAATAGTCAAACTTACTTTCTTAGTATCTTACAATATTGTTCAGATTTTAAAAGAGTGATTGAAAAGATTGAAAGAATGAAACAAAAAAAAAACTAGCAAAAATATTCGTAAAAGAGTAATAGGAAAAGAAACAGATGTACTTAATTTTTCTCATGTAGATGGGCTTTGTAGGTAGGAGATGATAACAAGATATGCAAATTAAAAGAAGAATGTCTTTTTATAAAAATAAAAAATAAAAAAATCCCTTTTCTATTGCAATGGTGGACGGAGAGAGAAGATGAAAGCAATTTAAAGAAATTCAGAGGTTGTACTCCCTCGTCATAATTTATGTGTCGGTACTTGAATCGCCACGTAATTTAAGAAAGAAAAAAAAATATTTTTAAAGTTTGTGATTTGAAATAAATTATAGATATTTTTGTGATGGTAAATAAATTCATTAAGGTTAAAATAATAATTTTAAAAACGGTAAATGGCCAAATATATTCATGTACTTTCGAAAATGATCTAAAAATTCCCTTCGTTATATTACTAGGCTATATATACCCTTCCCGTCATACTTTGGAACAAATATACCCTTATTTTGGATGAAGTGTCACGTGTCAGCACCAAATGAAAACGATCCATTTCTTTTTTTTTTCCTGATCCGTTTTAAAAAACCCACCAT